GCTGTGAAGGTAATACTAGTATTATTAGGTAAAATAAAGGGGGCCTGAGGAGGATAAATGGCTTTAGTAATATTACCACTCCCATCTTTATAAGATCTTTCTAGTACCTTTATATAAAGAGGCAAATAAGTTGTTATAAACCAAGGAACAAAATACATAATTTGATTATGCAAAGCACAAGTTTCATAAAATTCTTGAGAAATACTATTCAGATCATTTTTGCTATAAGCATCGAAAAACCACGTTTTAAACTGGCTCCATTTATCACTAAAAAATTCCTTTTTGAATATATTTTCATGCCCGAGAACCGGGGCTAAAATCAATTTGGTATGGAATCATTAAGTACTATTGGGGTCAAAATCCATCTCGGATACAGAAGGAATATCCTTATCAGAAATATTATCATTGTCCTGAACAATATTTGTTTGAGGGTTAACTTTAACCCTTTCAACCCTATATATATATATATGCGCATTAAATACAAAAAAGAAATTTACTTGAAAAGTGAAAGACGTAAAGATGCATTACACCTATTGCATGGCTATGATAGAACATACTTAGAGTTATAAAAATGATATTGTAACGACAATAAAATAAAGCTATTGTTTAAAATTTAAAACTAGATAATAAATCACAAATACTCATTGTATTATACAAATAGTTAGAATCGAGTCATCTATACAATATCTAAACTAACCGATACCAAAAGAAATTCTAAAATCAAAACTAAGTTGAAAAGAATAAATTAAAGAATGCAAAAAAAAAAAAAACTTGAAGAAAAATGAAGAATTGGAGGATAAACTCTTTGCATTGTAGTTTACACTTTACATGCAAAAGTCAAAAGTGTATTTATTACTCAATAATAAACAACAAAGAGAATGTAACGACCCGATAGGTCGTTTTGAGTATTAGCTCTCCTATTTGTATTTTGAGACATCTCATAGCTCGATTTGATGATTTATGACTTGCGTGCATGGTTTGTGTTGATTTCAAAAAGCTTAAATGTGAAGTTTTAAAGAAAATGGGATTCGTTACTTTAAAAATTACTAGAATTGATCACGGCCAATATTTTTGGTAAACGATCTCGGATCGATATTTTGACGATTCTGATAGGTTTGTATGATTTAGACTTGTACACATATTTGTTTGGGATCCCACATGACCGGAGTGTATTTCGGCTCGTTATGCGAAAAATTGAGTTTTGAACTTGAAAATCTTGATTTTAATGACCGATTCTCGAATTTTGATGTTATTTTGATCGTTTAAGTTTGCAAGTGAGTTTGTATGATGTTATTACACTTGTATGGATGTCAAGATTAAAGAGGGAGGGGCTCGGGTGAGTTCCAGATAGGTTAAGGACTGATTTTTGCTTAACAGGTGACTGTTGTTGTAACTGGGCTACATGTCTCGCATTTGTGATGACCTATTTGCAAATGCAAGCTTCGATTTTGCAATGACTGACTGGGATGGGCAGCTTTGCATTTTCGAAGCTTCGCTGGCATTCACGATGGGGCTTCTTTCGCAATTGTAAGGAATGTGTAGCATCAATTAGACGGCAGCTTCACAATTACGAAGCTTGGAGTGCATTTGCGATGGCTTTGTCGCATTTGCGACATCAAATGCTACGAGGATGGTTTGTAATTGCGATCAGCTGTTTGGATTTGTGAACATCGTATATGTAAACAAGAGTTTGCAATTGCAATATGTGCAGCTGGGTAAAATGTAAGAATTTCGGGACTTAGCTCATTTTATACCATTTTGAGACCTAGACTCTATAGAGGCGATTTTTACAGAACAATTTATTCCCAAATTGATAAGTTAGTAATCTTAAGTTGTTTTTCTTCAATTTTCACTACTTTTTCATGAATTTCATCATCAAATCTAAGATTCCTACAGTAGAATCGAGAATTTTAGGTAGAATTTTAAAATTTTGTAAAATTGAGATTTAGACTTCAAATTGAGGTCAGATTTCGTAACAAATCACATATCCGGGCTCATGGGTGAATGGGTAATCGAAATTTGGTCTTAATTTCGAATTTCGACCACTTGGGTATATGTTTAACTTTTTTTTGTTTTTTTAATTATGATAAAGATTGAATCTTTTTCATTTGAGGGTAGTTTCTAAAGCTTGTTTTTACTTGTTTAAACAATAATTGACTAGATACATGTGGTATGGAGGCTTGTTCTAAAGGGGAAGTCATGTTAGATTGTTGATTGTGTTCCAGAAAGAGGGAAGTGTCTTGGTTAACCTTGATATGAAGTTAATATGATATAATCGAGTCTATTTGCTATGTGATGTATGTGTTGGGAGCGACGTATATGCAAAGTGATGGGTTTATATGCGTTGGCTATGGGATAATCATGCGGGTAGAATTAGCCCAACTTGTTCCATGTTACTTTGTGTATTATGTATTTCATGTTTCAAATAGATCGTATAATTCTTTAATTTCTTGTATTCATGTTATTTTCATTTTGAAATATTGGGTGTCGAGATCGTTGAATCATTGATTGGTTGTTGGTGCCAATTGTTGGAAGATTCTCATATGATGAGTTGTGTTCAAATACTATAGTTGAAGTTGAATTTGTTTTCCACCTTGCTTGGTATTCTGTTGTATGTGATGCTTGGTGAGGAAGAGTTAAATGCACGAAGAGTATTGTCGTGCTTGTGAGGAAGAGTGAAATGCACAAAGGGTGTTGTTGTACTTATGAGGAAGCGCGGTTGTACACGAAGCGTTTTTCCGGGCCTTATTTATTTTTGATATTATTGCACGAATTGTATTTTCGTGCCTTATTTATATATTGATATTGTTCAATGAAGAGTGTTTTCGTGCTTAAATGAATGTGAGGATATGCACGAAGGGTGTTTTCGTGATTGTTTTTATATTATGATGTGAGGATGAGAGTGAAATCACGAAGGATGATGTTGTGCAGTTTTGTTGATTATATTGCTTTTTTACTTTGATATTCGTAATGTGGACTTGGTTTTGTGGTTTCATTATTTACTTATGAAAGGTTGTTCAGAGTTGTTGTAAAACTGCAAGTTGAGGCTTACTCAGTGACATTTTACTTTATGTTTTCAATTTACGCCCCTTTACTTGTGTACTTGTTATCCATTTCACTTGTCATTATCCCATTGTTATACTTGATACTTTACCTGTCACTTCCTTACTTCTTGATATATAACTGCACCAATTTATTGTAGGTATTTTATCTTAGCCTCGTCACTACCTCGTCGGGATAAGTCTTAATACTTACTGAGTACATTGGGTTGATTGTATTCATACTATACTTCTGTACTTCTTGTGCAAATTCAGACATTGGTAATAGCGAAATTTCGAGAGTGCTTAGCGGATACCAGTCTGGTGATTCGAGGTCGAGTTGCATTCCGTTTGTAGGCCTAGATTCACCTTTCTATTTCTATTGTAGTGTTTCTACTTTTCGGATAATATTGTACTTCTTTTAAAATAATGTATGTAGTAAACTCTAGAAGCTCATGTACTTGTGACTCCACGTCTTGGATGGATTGAGTGTTAGCGTTGATTCTAGACTTATTATGTATACCTTTTGAGTTGCTTTTAATTTATATTGTTATATTGATGTAGTCATAAATTGCCATTCTTTCATATTCTATGATGTATGTTGGCTTGCCTAGTAAGCGATGTTAGGCATCATCAATGATCCCGATTGGTTGGGATTTGGATTGTGACAGAGAAAGATTATGAAATTAGGATAATCAATTTTTAAAGATTATGAAATTAGGATAAACAATTAGAAAAAAACTTAGATTTTTCATTTAAAAATTTACTATATTAATTTTTAGATATATAACTAAAAAAAAAGGATTTATTAAGCAATTTTGGCTCAAATTTGGAAGTGTTCTCTAGCCTTATGCCCTAAATGAGCTCCAACAATATTGGGACTTATGCCTAGGCGAATTTCCGAAATGTTAAGGCTATGACCCATGATATTTACGTCCTGTATGGGGTAAATTGAATAATGTCAGGCGGACGCTTGACGAGTTGACACGTGAAATTAAAGACAGGTAAGATATGAGTCAGCAAATAGTTGCTACCAGATACAAATATATGACCGGAGCGGAATAAGTCCCAGTGACATAGGAACCGGGAACGAAGGAAGAACATCGGTTGGAAAAGACAACATTCAATGAGTAGCCGTTACAAAGAATCTCTGTATTAATGGTCAACTGTTATGCAGCCATCAAGAGAGGTTTTATTCTCATTAAAGAAGAGCTTGATTTAGGGATCTTGTCTCCCTAAATAGAGCTATAAATAGGAGAATTTTATCCATAATGGGACATGAAAAATCATCTGTAAAGGCAAAAATCTGCTCTTATATATCAAATTACTCTCTTTCTTTTGTTCTTAATATTGCTCTTATTACTACTTCCGAAGAAGCTAAGTCCATAACCAGACTTGTATTTCCTTCAAGTTATTTTAATAACCTTATTTCTGTTCTTACTTATTTTATATTCTTGGATCAAATTAATTCATGTGTCTATAAATAATGTTACAAATTTAATTATATCGTTTTACGAGTAAACACATTCCACTAATACGTCTCAGTGCATATTTGGTACGCCCTGCCCTAGGGCTCGTCTTGCGGCTCGCCCAGAAAATACCTTTTAAAATACTGTCAGTACCAATCTTTATGAGCAATGATAACTTTATATCGAATGTAATGGTGCCCCTTTACTATGGAATCCTTTGGAGGGGGGGGGGAGGGTTGGATTTAGTTTTATATATTGATAGTGTAACACAGTTTTACACTATCAATGTAATTTAATTTCTTATATCATGGTAATACATTTAGTTTAGGTTACTTCTAATGCTTATTAAATAAAATTAGATGTAATTAATTTTAAGTGATCTGACTTAAACTTGTTTTTGGGGTGCTGGTCATTTGTTCAATGATTATCTATATGGAACACTGAACACGAATAAACAAATATTTTTGACAATAAACTCTTTTCAGGCTCTATATTAAGCAAGAGAAGATCATATTATTTTTAGATGGACCAAACCTTATTAGTGTGTCAAGTGCTACACAAAAGTACTATAAATGATTAAGGTCCCTACTGGCCAAAAGGCCTTTGGCTAGCACAGTCCAAGTTGTTGCCTGGGTCAACTCCCAAAATCTGACAGTATCTTCTGTAGAACCCAATTCTGCTCTGCATCTGTGCATTTGAACCTTTGTTACATTCAATTCCACCATTGACGATGTTGGTGATTACACCAAAGCCGGGGACGCGGCGCGCGGCCAAATCAGCTGCGGATGGAGTCCATCTTCCAGTTATGACATCGTGGGCTGATGGCTTTGGTTGTTGGGGTGTCATCCAGAACCATAAGGCTGTTTTGAATGACACTACTGGATCATTGGCTACTAAATCTGGGTTGTTTAACAAATCCCTTCCTATTGCTCTCCCTGCTGGTCCATAATTGTAGTTGCTGCATCACAAAATTATTGTACTACTTTAGTGTGTGATTTTTAAAAATATGGACAATATAAATAATCTTTTAACACAGTCAAATCATCTAAATGATAATGGACTTATCACTTAATCAACTTAATTATTTACTTCAATAGTATAAAGAATTTACACGATTAGTGTATTCTAGCATATATCAGGTACCCTGCCTTATTTTTTAGATTACTAATATTTTTTTTAATGGACAATTACGTGTTGTTATATTTTAAATGAGTGATAGTTTAAAAAGGATTTTACAGTACCAATATAAAAAAGTTAAACCAAAGATAATGACATGTAACTGCTCATAAAAAGTGACAAATTACCCGTTACAACAAGTTATAAATAAAATCATTAACTATGTAAAATTAAACTGTTAGTTTTACATCTTTACTTTTAGGCGGAATAACTTCCTGACCACTTAGACTTGTAGGACATTTGAAAGCCGATACATAAACTTTAAATTTTCTCATTTGAACACTCAAACTTGACGGAATGAGTACTAATAAATACATCAAGTAGTGCGTGTATATCAATTGCGCTGACATGTACAATACGTCATATACTAGACTATTTATTACTTGACATATGCTATTTGTGAGTCCTATTTTTAAATACTAAATAAGCAAAAAAGAAGTTACAAATTAAAAAAAGAAAAAAGAAAGAGAGAAAAAGATCTAACACTTCTCTTTGTTCACCCACAACTCCCTTCTTCTCTGTTCACCCATTTCCATTCCTTTCCTTATTTTTATTCCTTTTTTTTTTCTCTTTTTCTTCAGTGTTCTTTCCCTCTCTTATTTCTAAATCAAATTCACAACACCATTATACTTATGATTAGACTAGAAAAAATAAATTTAATTTTGAAATTTCAGAAAAAATCAATAGGAATTCATGGTTTTGAAACACTGGAGGCCGCCCAATACTATTGCAAATATCTGTCATTTTTGTGTTTTGACGAAGATGAATTCGATGATTGCATTTTCTTCGGACCATCGATGGTTTAGAGTGGTGAGTGCTTTTTGACCACCAGGAAACTCCAATCGCCTGAAAATGGCTCGATTCTAAGGAACCAGACTCTGTCCTCTTTGTTTGTCTCGAAAGTTTATCGCGCTTGCCAACATCACGGATGATAGAACTTGGACTTGGATTAGATTCTGTCCTCTTTTGCTAACTTGCAACATCACAGATGATGCGCTCGATTCTAGGGGTCTTTTTTTCATTTTCTTTTTCATATTTTTTTTGTATTTATAAAATATTTTCTTTAATCACATTATTGCATTCACGTATATTTTCTGCGTGACGGACACGCGTTTTGTCCACATCACATTTGTCACTGTTTATATGGTCAACGGTCAAATGTGTTTATTAGTTAAGGAAATCATGAGTTCGAGTGTTCAAATGGGAAAGTTTAAAGTTCATGTATCGACCATCAAATGACCTACAAGTTTAAGTGGCCACGAAGTCATTCCGCATTACTTTTATTATCTAGTTAATAAATACTAACTAAAATGAGGGAAATGAACGTTAATTACTTACTAGGATATTTGGATAGGACCTCGACCGAAGTAGCTTTTACCAGGAGCACAAGGCCACTGCTGATTTGCAACGCAGTAATTTGGAGGGCTTCCTTGTT